AGAGCAAGGCAAACAAAAGAGCAAAGTGAAGCGAGAAAAAAACACCTCAGAATTATTCCATTGAATTAGTGAAAGAAAATAATTGGCCACAAAATACTTTGAAATGCTAAATTAATGTGGTGATTGATTTTTATCTTCTCAACTCAATTCATCCATTGTGTGTGAGAGTGTGTTCACGATTCGAACGCCACTTTTTTCTCCATCAGAATTGAACCACCCCCCCCCCCGTCCCAATCAATTGAGCCAGAAGAAAATCAATTGAACAAGAATAATCCGTTAAACAAATGCTATTTGCCGAACACTTGAAAACTAATTTTGCTTTAAGATGAAATAAGAACAATTGATTGATAACAAACACACACAAAACAAAACAAAAACCCAAAATCAAAATCCAACAAATAATAAATTAGGAGATGCTGTAAATCGTGACTTGCAATGCCAACACGAAGGCGGATCTTGTGAGTTTTTTCTAACGTGTTGGATGACTAATGGACTGTTGCAAGGTACTTGTGGCGGTGTTTTACGCGGCTGCTGTCATCGTATTGCCAAATCGGCAAATTCCGGTGCAAACGATATCATTGATCTCACAGATCTTCCAAATAAAGATTATGGACCAGTCACTAATGATCCTAGTGAGTGAGAGACATTCGTTTTCCTATACATTTTGCTAATTTTTGCTTTTTTTCTCTACAATTTTTTTTTGTTTCGGATGGTTTCTTTTGTTTTTTTATTACATATACTATTTATATATATTTATTTTTATTTTAAATTTGGTTGCGTTTTTTTTTTTTAAATTTTTTGTTTCGTGTATTTATTGATAATATTTTTTTTGTTTGTTTCTTCTACATATTTCTATCTGGTTTTGCTTCGCTTTACAATATCAACTCAAAGACACTTTCTATTGCCGAATTCGTTGTTTCCTTAATTTCGTTTCTACTTCTGCTTTTTATCTGTTTCTTGCGCTTCAGATTTATTTGTAATACTATAATATTGTTTGTTTTGTCGGTGTCGGTGACTGTGCTTCTTTTTTTGTATTTCCGAAACAAAAAATCAAATGGATTGGAATTGAGAAAGAAAGAGATTGAGAGAGAGAGAGAGAGAGAGAGAGAGAGAGAGAAAGATGAAATCGAACGTTAGACGAATCTCAAGGCAACAAAATTGGTTCAAATTGCTGCTGCCCTGCTCAGTCAGAGAGTTTTTGCAGAAAAAAAAAAGAAATTGGAAATGTGACAGCAGTCCATTGGAATGTTCATTGCTCGATGAGTAATGACCATTAATACTGGCCACATGAAGAGGCTTCACTAAAAACTAAAGCCCACACAATAGAAGGAAAAAAGAAAAAAAAATCAGCCCACCAATTTGGATGCACTTAGATTCGATTAACATTCGGTTGGCTGTAGGGTAAATTGGAATGCATGATCGATGGATTTTCCATTGTTTATTCACAAATGGTTTGTGTGCTGTTGTTCTGTTTGCATAAACCTTGCTTCAATGTTAAATAGATTATCTGTTCTGGTTGTTGGTCGGGATGGAGGTAGAGCATGTACAAAAACAACAGCACCAGCGATATTTTAATTTTAAGCCTTGGCAAACAAACCAAAATGCAAAATATAATTCTAGACACACTGCAATTTAAGTTGATTTGTTTTTTTTTTTTAATTTTAATTTAATTTTCACAATTAGAGCACACGATTTGGGTCGCACTGTTGCGATTGATTGATTTGTCCGAAAGAGATTTCGTCCGTTGTTTTGTTTTTCTGTAAATTCGATTCCATTTTGTCTGAATCTGTTCAAATTTTATTGGTTTTTTTCTTCTTCTACAAGCCGTATAATGCCTGATTTTATTTGACCGCCGCCGGTGATGGTCGAAATTGATATTTAAGTTTGTTTGGCGCATGTGTGTAGCAACAGAAAAATTTCATTGAAACGTACGCACGATGTGATAGTGATATCAATTAGCGCGGTACCACCTTTCCATTGTTCGACGGTTTGCGATTATTTTGTTATCGATTTGTTGAACGGCTGCAGCCACGCACGCGCGCGCGCGCACTCTCTTTCGTGTATGTTGCGTGTGTTCACATGGAAAAACATCCGTTTAAACTCTGTGCAAGCATTTGTTAAAACAGCTTTTGATTTTGATTTCGTGCATTGCACTCTCCCAAACGCAGTGCTCAACACACACACACACACACACACACACACACACACACACATGCACAAGCAAATCCAAATCCAAGCAACAACAACAAACACACAAGGGAAAAAAACCAAACTGAGAAAAACTCAAATCAAATGTTTTTACAAAACGTTTTTGAAGTGAGCCACCGTCGTCGAACTGAATTACGTTTTTTTTCCTTCGAATGCAATTGAAAGTCTTTCGCTTTTTTTTTCGTTCATTCGTTCATTTCTTTGTTTTGGCCACCGTGTTGTTATGATACGAATTTGAGATTAATTTTTTGCTCTAGTAGCTAAGCAATTGAAATCTCTTCAATTTGCAACGTACAACCGTTAATTACCGCCCCAAATCCAACCACCACACTGATACATGCATATATATTGCGCGAACACACACTCACCAGCCTTAAGTGAGAGAGAGAAGAAAATGTGCAGTCAAAGTCGAGAAAAAAACAGTGCCCGCTGCGCGTGCGCGTGCAATGGGCGAAATTTATGACGACGTTGTTGGTAATGCGGAATTAACATTTAGCGTAAAATGTATGCGTAACGCGAATCGTAAAAATGCGACTTGTACAAGCAAATCTGCAACCTGCAAATATATATCAGTCGGTACCATTATTATCTCTCGGATGTGTGAATGGGTTTGGTTGTTGTTGTTTTTTTTTTTTCACTCTCATTTGATGTAATGACATAAGCCAATACAAGCAATTACAACAGTTTTGACGCGTATGTGTGGGCCATAAACATGTTACCGGCGTTGATCATTCGACGATTACGCGATCTATTGCTAAGATTTCAACGACGGAACAACGTTTAATCGAAAATTCGGTTTTCATGCACATTAATAAGTTCCAAGCCAATGTTAATGACCATTTTACGCACAGAATGAAACAGAAAAGCAGCAATAATCGCATTTTATTCAGTTGTTAATTCATTAGTCGGAGCTGAACAAGTGCATTTGTCAATTGCATGGTCATGCATTAGTTCCGATGAAACAATCAATTATTCGGCGTTCGCTGTTTTTTTTTTACACATTTGTCACATTCGACAGACAAAACACAATGGCCAGTTTCAACAAAAACAAAAAAGAGTGGCGAATTTCAGCAACGATTTTTCAACGGATTTCGTCAGAATTTAAGCACAGTTTGGTCGATGAACATTCACACATTTCACGTGCAATCATCAAAATGTAACTAGAACAATGTGACACATTGGATGATTTTTAAAGGCCAAACGACATATTACACATGAATTCTGGCGAAATTCAGCTGAAGTGGCACAGTAAAGTGGTGATGGTTTCCTTTTTGCTCAACACAAATGCTTTTCTTTTTCTTTAACATCGGCCAACAGCTGCACTGAGAGCAAAGCATACCGAATTACATACATACACTAATTTGAACTTTTTCGAAGAACTGCCAATGTCACTTTTCAGATCTATCTGATCCCTTTTCCCATTGTAACGATGTCCCATTCCCAATGCTCTTGCACACAAGTATCACAGAAAAAAACCACATTCGCCAGCACCATTTACACTAGCGGAAACAATGCATTCATTGCCGAAAATAAGCAATTTTAACTCGCATTTCATTCGCGATTCACTTAAAATTGAAGAAGCATTTAATAATTATAATATTGATAGGCTATTCGAATTTAATTCGCCTCAAGCAAAGTGCAAAATCCATTCGCTGGACTCTTTTTCATTGAAGACTTTTTTTCTTCGACGCATAATTTTCGGGTGAAACGCCATGGCAATCTTACCAGACCACAGAAGCAACGTTCCTTAGACTGTCCAAACTACGGAAGAAAGTGTGAATTTCAATGCATCGTTTGTCAAACTAAAGAAGAATTAATTTATCTCATAGGAATTATAATTTATGTTTCACAAGTCAATACTTGGTGGGTGTCATGCTTCGATGCGAGTGCTTCGCAACGAAAGTTCAAGTAAGTTGGTGTTCAATGATCTAAATATGAACATCGTATTTCTTCCTTGTTTAACAACAAAACAACACGAGTCATCGATTTTGATTTCTTAATCTTGAATTTTCAATGTTACATAAGCTTGAAATGCTCAGATCAAGTGAAAATTAGCATACCATCGATAATTTGACTTGAAGTTCTTCGACTTGATGAACAAAACACAAACAATGGAAAAAAACGTTAAAAATGTAAAATAAGAGCGTAGCAGACAAATGTATGTGAATTACATTAAAATGCCATTTTTTTTGTTCGAAGTAAATTCGATATTCTAAGAATAAAATCAAACCGTGACGTACACGATCGCCGCTTGACTTTGAACGAAGACAATCGAGATTCGTTGGAATTAGCAACAAATCGCCGTTTCGAATCAGTTGGTTAGCACACAAAAGAAACGAACACACGAGACAACTGGACAGACATTTCAAACATTTCGCACGTAGAACCAATTCTAACTCATTTGACTTTTACACACAAACACAAACGAACACACACACACACACATACACAACTGACCTCATGCAGAACGCACAATTCCTTTAATCCCAACGTTGATAATTCCTAGGACTTTATTCTGTTGTAATCAATTCTAGTTTTTAATAACAAATGACAACAAAATAACATAATTATTTCAATTTTGCAAATAAAAACTTTTCTATCGTTTGTAATTTTTTTTTCATTCGGCACTATTATGACTTACACGGCATGCACTTGAATAACCTTTTTAAATTTTGAATATGCGAACAATGTAGAGCATTCATTTTGGAAATTCGTCTAATTGAACAAAAATGTTCTTCTCTCTTTTTTTTGTATTCGATTTTGTTGTTGTTGTTGCGATGTTGTGTTTTTAGGCTGTGGAATATCGCTGGCGAAGCAAACAGCACAACGGCGAATTGTTGGCGGCGATGACGCTGGGTTCGGATCATTCCCATGGCAGGCATACATCCGCATCGGTTCATCCAGGTATTTGTCACACATCAAATGAAACCATTCATTTTTTTGCATTCTCTTTTTTTGTTCGATATTGAAACTCTCGAGTGTATCATAAAATTCGGATCATACATCCATCTAAATGTTAGATTGCTTGAAAGAGACAAAAAAAGACGATAGATTGGAGGAAAAAATTTCATTACACACCTACAGATATGACATTTTGTACATTTTTGTTCATGTAGAAAATGATTGCCCAAACAACACATTCAACATCCAAAATCATACACAAAACAATACAGTTAACATTTGCATTATCAGATTTAGTGCATGCACAAATACATACACATACACATATAAACATACATACACAACCACACCATTTACACACCAAAACATAAACAATTTTTTTTTGAATACCAACACACATACAAACTACATGAAAATAAGAAAAACAAAACAAACATGGTTAGAATAAAACCCGGAAAATCGATCCCGATTTTATCTCGCCTTTAGAGAACAGAACAAGTTTTCATTTTGTTTTTGTCCAAATTGTAGAAAGAGAGAGAAATTGTTGCATTCACAACGCAATTTTTTTTTTTACTTTTGAAATCATCATCTATTGATGTTCGACATTTTTTTTTCATTCACAACGCTTAGCTAGCTTTTGGGTTCATTGGTTCACATCTGTTCACATCGCATTTTTTGTATTATCAAAAATTAAAAAAAAATAAATGCTTCATTTTGTTTAAATTAGCAATTTTCAAATAGACCCAATAAGTTTCATGGCTTTTTGGTCCATATTATTTGAGCTTGATGTAGCGGTTTCTGACATGTTTTTTTTCTTTCGAATGACAAAAGCATGTCTTTGCAACGAATTTTTTTGCAATATTTGGATGATCTTCTTGTCGTAATGGTTTGTAGTATTGTTCATAGTGTAGAATATCATCGGATTGGGATCATGCATAAGATGCTAGTGAAAGTTATAGACTTAGATTTAGATTCTAAATTTTTGATCTTATTTAGATGAAGAAAAAACAGTTGACTTGCCGCACAAGCTATATACAGGCTGGTGTAAGTCGATTTCAGCAAGTGCCGAAAATGATTTTGTGCTGCCATGTGTGCTTTGTGCAACTTCCACACAATCTTTTCGGAAGCTTCAGCTAAAACCAACTTACGACGCATTGTGTAGCGCGTGTGCCCAGCCTAAAGTAAATTTAATTAGAAAAATTGTATCCTTCAATAAATCATTCCCGTTTCAATGTGACCATTAAGTAGATTGGAGACCTTCATCTAACAATTTCGATGCATTCTCATTTATTCCAGTTTGATTTTCGCATATTAGATGCGTTCATTTTTTAAATAGTAGTTTCGTTTAATTGTTGCATTGTTCATGTATTTAAATACATCAAGCTCTAGTAGAATTTAGCTATTTGCCTTACAAACAACTTCTACCGTAAGCAGGTGACCGCAATTTGGGAGAATGAAAATGAGCCATAAAGGGATTAAAAGCAACATAAAACCTATTTAACTGAAATGTGTCGTTTATTTTGCAGCCACAGTGATGGTGTCAGCGACCTATCGAACCAAATGAAACATTCTAAGTACACTTGAATCAATTTCTCAGCAATTTCTCTGCATCATTTCTCACAAAAACGAATTTCCAATGCAATTCCATTTTTGCAATTCACACGATGATCTCAAATTTATCTCTATGATACACACATACACCACTTCCAAATATTTACGAATCGAAAAACAAATACATTCACTCTTTGAAGAAAACTATAAAAGTAAATCACTTTTGTGATTTTGGACTTGTTTGTAAATTTCAGCTAATATATCGACAGGAATAAGTTTTACAAAAATCTTTGACACTCATTTTTGTTCAGTTTTTGACGAGGAATCGAGTGGCAGTTTCAGTTTTCATTTCTGATTTTTAACCAGGTCAATTTTTCAAAAATCAGAAATGAAAACTGAAACTTCCACTCAATTTCTCGTCGAAAAATGAACAAAAATGAGTGTCAAAGATTTGTATAAAACTTATTCCTGTCGATTTATTAGCTAAAATTTACAAACAAGTCCAAAATCACAAAAGTGATTTACTTCTATAAAGAAAACAGAAAATTTGTGATTTCAAATCGATTGATTTGAGAAAAAAAAAAACAAAGAACAAAAAATTGAAAAATGATCGAAGACCAAAGCCAAAAATTCTCCACACAATACAAACTCGAAAATCAGCAACCAGTCAATTCAAATCCGAATTGTTTTCTGTAAAGCAAACGAAAATGGGTACTGAGCAAAGTAGCAAAAATGCCGTTTTTTTTCTACTCTATCAAAAATCAAATTCGGTTTCTAAATGCAAAAAAATATTTTGTTGCACATTTACTTTGTACTCAGCACTCATGTTCGACCGTTTGGTGTGTATACAAACAAAAGATAAAAAGAAGAACGAACAAATTGTTGGTCCAAATTCGTAGTGTATTTTTTTGCCTAATTACAACAACAACAACAACCATTTTCATTACTCAATAGTTATTATTTCTCATTCATTTTTTCACGCTGTCATCAACTAACACGCATCTTCCCATTTCTCTCTCTTTTGCGACGATTGAAAAATGTGGTATGGTGGATTGAAAAATCTTGTGCAAAAAAAAAACAATTTTATATTGTGGTTTGGTTGTGTTTGGTGGGGTGTGCGAAACAAAAACGATCAGATCTTTGCTTTCCAGATGTGGGGGTAGTTTGATATCACGACGTCATGTCGTTACGGCCGGCCATTGTGTGGCACGGGCAACGCCGCGCCAAGTGCACGTTACACTTGGTGATTATGTGATTAATTCGGCGGTTGAACCGTTGCCAGCGTACACATTTGGCGTACGAAAAATCGACGTGCATCCATACTTTAAGTTCACGCCACAGGCTGATCGCTTTGACGTTTCCGTTTTGACGCTTGAAAGACCCGTGCATTTAATGCCACATATCGGTAAGTGCTTCTTTTTTTTATCAGTAAATGATTACTATTCGAATGTTTTGAAAATTCATTTTTCTATTCATTTCAAATGGAATCAGCCACCGATATTAACCCAAATAAAAATTTGACAAATTTGGTCGCCATGCAAAATCTCCGGTTTCGTTTGTAACTTTTGTTCGTTTCCGTTTGCAGCTCCAATTTGTTTACCAGAGAAAAATGAAGACTTCTTAGGTAAATTTGGATGGGCAGCAGGATGGGGTGCTCTTAATCCAGGATCACGTCTCAGGCCAAAAACACTGCAAGCAGTCGATGTACCAGTTATTGAAAATCGGTATGTTCATCCATTCGATTTAGTGCGATTTTCTTTTTGAATTTAATTACAAGAAGATGAATTGAAGCAATTCCAATTCAATCGTCACATTCAAACGATATAAAAGTCAAAGAACATGCTTGAAAATCTTAAAATTGTTCGTTATAGAATTTGTGAGAGATGGCATCGGTCGAATGGCATCAATGTTGTAATTTATCCGGAAATGTTGTGCGCTGGATACCGTGGTGGTGGAAAAGATTCCTGTCAAGGTAAATATTATCGACGTTATGACGTCGGTTACGATCGAACGACATTTAAATAAATTAAACTAATTGTCTTGTTTTTCGGCTAATAGGTGATTCAGGCGGACCACTTATGCATGAGAAGAATGGACGCTGGTATTTGATTGGTGAGTTTTGTTCAAAATAGTCGTATGATTAAATTCATTTAATCAAAAATCAAATTCAACACATTAATTTTTTAATAAAATTCATTCAATTTTTTCTAAAATTAAGGGTAATCAAAGTCTACTCAAAACATGTCAATCATTATTGTAATTTCCAACAATTCATAGGTGTTGTGTCTGCTGGATATTCGTGCGCATCTCGTGGTCAACCAGGCATCTATCATCGAGTTCCGTACACCGTGGATTGGATTTCATATGTCAGCAATTTGAACAACAAATAAATTGCAGCGCTCCACACGCGAATCTCTTCAAGCTAACGGTCCCAGTACCAACAAATCGAATGTCGACCGATTGAAATTCGGACGATAAAAAAAATCACAAATCGATTCGTCTACGAATAGAATACGATAATATCCAACACATATCAACAAAAAACCACACAGACACAAACAAGAGAATGAATCAACTGTTTTTTTTTTTTTCAAAAATGATCAAAATTTCTCTCCCTCTAAATTATCAATATAATTTTGTTTTTCGTTTCGCAACTCGTTTTTAACAAAATTAATTCATTTTTTCTTCTAAATATTAAAAGAAAAATAAGTTGCTTTCTGTCTATTTTTTTCATAATTTTATTTAAATTATTTACAAGTACGTTAGATCCATCTCTCTCGTATAGATACAACTCTCTTGTCCTTTATTCTGTTTCGAGAAAGAAAAAAAAATAAACAAAAAAAATCATCTCTTTAAATTTAATTTATTTAAAAATCAAATATGCATATTTATGAAAACGGAACGCCTTCAGACGACTGGCGAGATGTTTTGATACCAGCTAAGAAATTCCATATAGTATAAAGTCTTTTACTGCGTATATCGACACTATTTTTTTCTGATTTTCTGACGGAAACTAAGTGAAAATAGAACAAATGGCACATTTTCTTAAGAGACTGACAAACATTCGAGCATTCGAAATCGCATCAAAGTCTAACGGGGTTACGGCCTCCAATCGATTTGATGAGATTTCAATTTTTAACCACATTTTTATTCTTCTTTTTTTTATTGCTTAATATTTTCTGTTTGATATTTAAATGTTTGAAGGTGAATGATTCTTTTTGTTATTAAAATATCTTTTTAAACTTATGACAACAACAAAAATTATTTCCAAACCAAGTATATCATACCTTCTGCAATCGAATGTTCGCCAATCATAAGAAAAACGTTGTTTCCAAAAACTGAGATAATAAAAAAAACAGCACACGTGGAGAGGAATTCTCATCGAAATTCTCAAGCAATTGTCAAATTCTTCAAGTTTTTGCTTCCTCAAATTGAGGAATTTCGACAAAAAAAAAACAAACAGCGACTTTTTTTAAGTAGACAATTTTTCCATACAAACAAAAACAATTGTAGTGTTTTTCTATAAGCAAGTTTTTGACATGAATGGATCATAAATAAGTGGTGAAATGTGTTGAGAGAGCGAAAGCTTACAAAGAGTAAGCTCATCATTAATATGTTAAGAATGATGATCCTTTATACACGAGCAAACAGAAATCAATGAATATTTTTTTTTACAAATAATGTTTTGTGATGATCAATTTAGAAAAGGATGTTTTTTTTAATAACTAAGAGAAAGCAACGAATTGTATGTTCAAGCAAGAAAAAAAAAAACAATAAAAAAATCGATTATGTAAATAAGCTTCTTAAGAAAAAGAAAATAACATAACATATGTTCTTTTTGAGGGGCGAATCAAAAGCATCGAACGGAGTCAAGAGGCTTTTCAGTCTCAACCCAATGTGTGTGTTTTTTCTTGCTTTGTTTGTATAAACCTAGCGACACCGAGAGCAAATATTGCTCAATCTATGTTTTTTGTTTCAGTCAATACATAAAATTTGTTTGCGCTGCAAAAATAGAATGAATTTAGCGCACAATGAACGTTAAACTCAAACAGAGGTGATTTCGTTGATATCAAGACTTTTCGTTGATATCGAGAGCGCTTAGAGAGAAATCCAATTTTACGGCAATAAATGATAATGAAAAAGGGGGAGGAGGTGGAGGAGGAAAAAGACAATAGCTGTACTAACTATTGAGCTAATGTTGTTAATGTAATTTGTAATTCACAATGAGCAAATTGTGTAAAATGTATATAATAAAACGGAGAAAAAAAGAAGAAGAAGAAGAAGCATATAGTGGCGACAAAAGAAAGTGAGACACAAGCCGATGAAACGTTGAATTTTAGCCTATTATTTTATTTAAAGTGTACGTTTTATTTTAATTGGACAGATAAAACAAGAATCAATGTTATTAAAATGTAATTCTTAATTCTCTAAAAACACAAATAAAAATGAGAAATTAAAGGAAAAAAAAACAATTTTCGTGTATTTTTTCTCCAAATTCGTTTTTTTTTTCGTATGTTTGGAATAGTAGCAAAAAATGTAATTTTCGTTTGTACGACAATTTATTTCTTCTTTTTTCCAATCGAAGGCCGATTTGGCTCATTCCGGCTCATATGCATATATATGTTGGTGGTATGATGACCTCATGTCGTCGTCATCGTAATTGTCATCGTAGCTCGGCGCAATTACCAGGAAAGGGGAAAATATGAAACATTTCGCCTATATCTGTCATTAATTTACGGCATTGCTCTCGTTTTTGTGCTGATTTGTGTAGAAAGTGAATTTCAAGCTGGTGCTGCTTGTTTCTTTTCTTTCTGTAATACAAAATTAACTTCAATTAGAAAGTCATTTGATGTGTGTGATCTAAAGGTGTATTTACTGGTGACCAATCTTGGTTTCGTTTTGACAGACTCTCTGAGAATATTGTGCTTATGCTTGTGGTGAGTGTGTGTGTGTGTGTGTGTGTGTGCATGTGTGTGTTGTTGCAATGAAAACAGCCGCCATAACCAAATTGAGTCCGACTCCAAGCATAATATCTACGTCAATAAATTGGAAAAGTGTTCAAATCCATGGCGAACCGATAATTTTATGTTGATTGTTTCTTTATCGATTTGACGTATTGTTATATTGCCAATTGCGAATGGCGATCATATTTTGTACGACGATTTATTGTTATTTTTGATATTTTGAAATCTCAATCTCCGTGTTCCGTACATGATCAAACCAACGAGCACATTGCAACGGATGGATAACAAAATTGGAGAAAAATAAACGAATTACAATCACCATTTGATTTATTAATTAGTTTATTGTTTTCGTTTTTTATCGCTTTTAGCTTGTACTCTTTGTCAGTCGAGCAAAGTGCTCTGTGGCCAAACGGCTCTGTCAATTCACATCGATTTTATCGCTCGTTCAATCTACTCACATTTTCCATGTTTATGTGAATCGACGACGACGACGACGACGACGATGACAACCACAACGATAACGGCTTCGTTCGCGGCCAACAATTGTGTGTGACGCTGCACAATCACAATTACCGGCGATCAAGATACGAATGCTCATTGCTCATAGACATAAATGTATTGGCTTTGGCACGTGCATATGGTATTTGATCGACTTTAAAGTGCGCTGTGTTGCGTTCGGTGATGGCCGTGTATGGGATTGGATGCGATGTTTCAATGAAATAGAAAGCGAACAAATCGACTTTTATCATTTAATCGTATTAGCCTGGAATTACACAAATATTTACGATTTTTGTTGTTTTTCTCTCTTCGAAACGAATTTTCTCTTTTTTTACTCTGGTTAATTCTGATTCTAAATTGAAGCCAATTCATATATTCGCATACGCACTCATATTGAATGTGTACAGTATCAAATTGATTCCCCACCAAATAGCATAATTAAACATTAAAATCTCATTTCACTGCGGCAATTATCTGCGAAAAGCGCTGAACTAAATGGCATTTTTTTTTCGTCTACCAATTCATTAAAATCAAAATGTAATTGCCCAATCACAACGGCAAGCCATTCGCGTCTAGATGACGGCGAAAACGATTATGTTTTCACCGCATTGACACACGTTGTGATTCATTGTAAATTACTTCCTGTTCGATGAAAAAAATAAAAAACAACAGTTTTACTGTCTCATTCAGCCAATATGCATTCATTTCAATTTCCATTTTTTTTAAATCATCAATTCCATTCGGAAACACCTATCCCAATGAATACAACAACCAAACGAACGCAACACAAACAGCAACAACAACAACAACAACAAATCGATCGGCAAAAAATGCATAAAATTATAATAATATAATGACATATTGATTGATTTGAGTGGATGGTTCAGCTTTCAGCTTTCCAAGTTGTTCCATTTTTCTCAGTCGTTCGGGCTGTTTCGTTGCCCCGAATATGTGTAACGTACACACAACGCGCACATAAATTGATCGTTTTAATGAGCGGCAAGGTGAAGGTCGTTTACAACGCAACACTAAGATTTTTTTATTTCGTCCGTATTGTGGCCGACCATTGAGACACATTGAAGAGGCTGCACGAAAACACTTCCACTGTATGACGCAGTATGGGCGCGCAATTAATTTGAAAACACTAATTTTTGAAGAGTTGAAAGTTTCCCGTCTCCATGCTCAGCGTACATTATTGGTCTGTATACGCGGAATATGCCATTGGCGTTCAAAACCGTATCATTTTACTTTCTGCATTGTTTCATTTGTTCCCAAAATGGCAATAGCATTGTTATAGGTAAAAGAGAACATTTCTAGCAATCGAAAGAATGGCTACGACCCTGAGACCATTGCCTGATTGAGAAAATTCTCTCGAAATTAATGTCAAATTAATATCAATGGAAACGAATTGAATTGGAGACTGAAATAATAGTTATTGTTATATTCAATTGAAATTGAATTTAGTCATTTTAATGTCTATATACAGAAGAGGATTTTCTCGTTTTTCTATTCTGGAATGTATAACGAAAATACGGCAAAAAACGTGTATTTGCAAACGAAAATGTTCTGTTAAGAAAGAGAACCCGTCGCATTGTGATGATTACTCGAATAATGATCAAGTTGATGCTGACAAAAAAAATCATTTACATACGCGTATGCATGTGATACATGGAATAGTGGTCGTTTCGAAGGTAAGTGGTTTTTTGTGTGTTCATGCTTTTGCTGAAGAGGAAAGTATGAAGAAATTAAGAAAGTGGAATGGACCAGGCGCCAATTTGCCTTGTTTTTATTTACATACTTTTTATTGAATATGTTTTTATTTCCACTTCATAACATCGTGATACACATCTTCATTGATGGCGATGGATTTAGTAAAATAAATTTAAGCGGAATTTGAAATTAGACTTAATTGGAATTTCATAAAATTAACAACTGATCCAATAACAGACTCAATACAACAGTGAGTTTTCAACGATTGTTCAACATTATGAACTGGATCTCTCAGATTGAGAGCAATCGAAATGATGAGCTGATTTCAGCGAATCAACACTTTAATTGAATTTCATCAGTCCAATGATGGTTCTCAGCGTCTTCTGTGTACCAGCGTCTTTATGTGCACACTCCACCGAAAGTAGATGGCTATGTTACCATTTTAACAAACGACGTGATGCTTTTTACAAATACTTTGAAAATCGGTTGACATTTCTTAGCTTCAGTAAAGTTTTTGTAATCAATTGTTCGTGTTGTGATTTTCATCACGTTTTGGTTTGAATTTAATCGGTTGAATAATTGCATGTTGGAAAATGTAAAGCGCTTCAAGTACTTTGGGAAGCAAGAATTCGATCCAACAAGAGATAGAGAGAGAGGGGGGGGGGGGGGGGTAGGCAGAGAAAAAGTGGATCAGACGGTGACAACAAATAATTAGAAATTGCTTTGAACGCCGAACGAGAAGGAGATGAATTTAAGCGTTGTTGTTGTGCTGAGATCATAAAAAGAAAATTTATTGCACATTTCGTTCAAGTGATTTTCATAATTGCATTTCAACAGCAGCGTCCAACGCTTTAATTAAGATTAAATTAAGTGTTTTTTTTTCCTTTCTTATCAGCAATCGGACATTATTCATTAGAAAATCACTTTTAGTTTCTGGGAGCAGACCGTTGTTCGTTCGTGGTTGTTATTGTTGTTATGGCTTTTCTTTCTATCTGAAAGTAAATTTCTAATTGGATGCAACAATGACGGTCGTCTATTTCGCATCGAATCAATGGGAAAAGCAGTTCGAACAATCACAGCGACGAGCGCGAGAAACGATGTAAAAGCATCATCGTGGTCATTTGCGCACAAAGATGCGGCCCGTTTAACCAGATGGAATACAAATGTGTTGCTGCAATCGACCACGAACCAGCGATATCTTGTGTTGCAATTTTTCTTTCCTTTCTTCAATATTATTTCCAAATTTAAAGAGAAAAAGAAAAAAGAAGAAGAAGAAAAGAAAAGAAAGAAAGAAAACCGTTACAGAACTCAATGATCACTATATAAAAGTGGTCGTACACGGCGGCCGTATGTTGATAATGGTTTGGACTGAATTGAATACCAATGAGCAACCTTGACTTACTACTACTTCTTTTTTGCCGCTCGGCTACGGCATACATGTACACTGTATCGAGATTTGTGATCAAGATTTTGAGAAAATATTGGACAAAAAAAAAATTGAAATTTACATCAAATTTTTATAATTGAAAATCGAGCGCACTTTGTATCTCTAAATTTTTGAAATTCACACCGAACTTGACTTGAATCTTCTTTTTTTTTTGTATAAAAATCAACGACTTCATCGCAACAGTGTATCCGCAAGCGGAGCAGTATTCTGAATCTTGCAATCGTTTTCTTCGGCTTCTTTTCTCACAAAAAAAAAACACTAACGCACATTATACAGATGCTGAGCTATGTGTTCATTTGGTTTGTGTGTCATTTTTGCAAGTTTATCGGATTATAAATGCTGATGGCCTATGTTTGTGTTTGTTTCGCATTCGTTGTGCGGACGCTGTTGTTGCTGCTGCTGCTGGTGATAGTGTTGCTGCAGTTGTTGTTGTGCGATCGCAAGCACTGTAGTCGCAGTTACAACTGTGCGCGTGCGAATCTTTCTCTTCTCTTTCGCTTGCGCCGAAGAAAGCACACTTTGAGCACTCTCAAGCATATTCAACGCGTTAAACTCAACATAAACGAGAAAAAGAGAGAGAGATAAAAGAGTCTTTTACTTTTGTAAAAATCAGTTTGCGCGTGAATTGCGATCGGCAGTTGCTATTGAAGAACCATAGCGTTTGGATCCCCGAAGCTTTATGTCGGCCGCGTTATTACCCGTAAAAATCACGATTTTCGATTAGAAAACACGTCCGATAAAAATCATTACTTGTTATTCGTCAACGAAAATTGATTTCGTGTGCATCCTGACGACACTCCCATGAATAAATTAGTCCGTTAATTTGGTGTGACATTGAATTTTGTTTGTTCGTTCGTTTTTGGTATATTTTTACGTCTGTGTTGTGTAAAGTGATCGTGATAATTGTGATAAAACTAGTCAAAAATCGTTCGAAATCCGAACATTTTTACTGTCGCTGTAGCTCTTGAACTTATCCAGGTGTGTTGACATCTTCGGATTGTTTGAATTTTTCGAAAGATTTTGGGCATCATTTTAAAGAATTGGATTCAGAGCTTCATTTAAGCGATTGGAAATATTATTAAAAGTCAAAACAATAGCAATAAAAATATCATTTGGATAAAAGAAATCCGGCACATACATTTTCATACTCCATCATCTTCACTTTAACTTTTTTGAAAAGTGAATCCATAAAAAGCCAAGTGAAACGGCGAATGGTTTCATTTTGTCAGTTTGAAATTCATCGTGTGCATTAGATCGGTTTTTATTTTTCTTTCTTATTAATTTATTGCGCGACATATGTATTTCATAAAGAAAAAAAAAAGAACGAGAAAAACGAATTCAATTCATTGGAATGAATGTGTTTTAAATACAAAAGGCCGTATGTGAATCAGAGCTTCAGCGAGAAAATTTCCTGAGTGAGTTTCACGACCAAAATGCGTGCAACACCGTTTTCAATGCCACTTTTTTTGCTTCTTATCGCTCTCTTCAGAGGAATTAGTTTTTTTTTTGTGTTTACATTGCGCTTCAAATGTGATTTTAAAGCGTGTGAGTGTGTGTGTGTGTGTGTGTGTGTGTGTGAGTAAAATTCCCATCGAGTTGTGAGCGATTTCGTGAGATTGGTTTTTGTGTTCTGAAAGCGAATTTTTTGCTCGGATGATTTTCACCGATAGCGCGCACTCGCGCACCCGCTCACAAGAAGAAAGAGATGCGATGTCACAATTGATAGCGACTAGCTGTTTCTGTTGCTTCCACAAGACACATCTAACCAAATCGACTCAACCATTTTCACATGCGCAATTACAGAAAGAGATTGGTACGCGCATGTGCCAAAACCGTGTGTGATGCACACAACAAATGATACTGATGAAAGCGTCTGCGCTATCATTTTGATATCAATCAATGACAAGAGATAGAAAGAGAATGAAATGGTTACGAAAAAAGATCTTTAGACACACGATTCGTTTTGCGACGAAACAATAAACCGCAAACCTATTCTAATTCTCACTGATGTATCGCGTATGTGAATAAAACAGGAAATTTATTTGTGAATATTTTCGCATTGCTAAAGACTTTCCGCGTTGTTGTTGTTGTTGTTTTTCTCTCGTCTTTGATCGACCTACCGGTATAGAAGAAAGTAAGACGCACGATCCAAACGGCGGAAAAGAACAAATTTTTCTCTATGGTCTGAATAACGTGAGTATCATCATACACTTGAGTTGTTGTGATGATGTTGATGAGCGCCAGGTGCATGCGCTTTTATTGTTGATCGAATTATCGTCAATCTGGTCCGTGTGTTCAATCTGATTTTCTGCTCATTTTTGTATTCGATTGCAATGCTTGATAGAATAATTTGGGTGCGATAGTGATACAAACATGAAAACAATTTGAACACGATGCGCTGCGGAAGCTTTGTAGCCTGTCAACAGTCAAAGCTTGTAGTGTTTAATTAAAAGCTACAGCTCAATGAATTTATTTTTATTTTTCGAGAATATTGATTTCTGCAATGAATGAAGTGCATAATCATTTGTCTCGATCAACCTCCGGCACAAATCCACTTTTCCAATCTGATTTATATTCAATTATTATTTAAACGGTATATCGGTTTTATTTATTTTCATAATCTCATATCACATTTTGAACCAGAGACAAGAATATGCTAAAAATAAATAAGAATATCAAAGCTGTAGCTGGGCCTCGCATTAAAAAAAAGAATGCTGCTGTACCGCTAAGAGCCTCGTGCCAATTAGAATGTCATGAATGTAAGCGATCAACGGTGTTTCGTGCCTACAAATTCTTTTCTCTTCGTTTTGACTGACAGAGAGAGAGAGAGAGAGAGAGAGAGAGAGAGAGACCGATGGCGAGACTGGGCGATGGACAGAGATCAAAAGAGAGAGAAAAAGATTGTAAGAGCGAGAGAGTAAAGTGTTGATCATTAAAATAAATACATAGCGTTTGTTCTCGAATCTGCCAAATGAATAGAATCAAGAACCGGCTTTCCATCGTGAATTTATCGTTTTCGTTTCATTATGCCCTACAAAAAAACACAAACAAACAAATACACATAATCGTGTGACATAATTTTGCTCATTTTCTTCATCTTCAACATCATTGGTTGATATTTCATTCCACTTGATTACTGTTTCTTCCATGTAAAAAAAATCAGTCGCGATTTGAACGGGCTGTGACCGACCATGAGATAGATTGTCTCTCTTAATACACCTGTATGTGTGCTATCTCAAAATCGCCCGAAATTAGAACGAATCACCGTAGAATTTTCACTAAGAACCACATTTCGATCGATGTGCGGCTTACGTTCTTCGCGTGTTGCTATTATCTCGTTTCGAATGTACATGATTAACAGTTCACTGAAATTATGAAATCACTTTTTTTTATTATCGCTGCATTATGTTTTTTCTTCTTCTTTTCTTTGCATCTTTCCATGTGTTGTTATGAATCGATATTCAATTGCCCGGTATAAATGTATCGATTTCTCTTGGACCGTGAATAAGAAATCAAGCAAAATCGCGCGCGCTTAATCATCACAAAGCTGGCCAGCCATTGATTAATGATAAACAACACAGCGACTGTAGCAGCAGCAGTAGCAGCAACGCAGCACAGCCAGCCAACGTATGGATTTGGATTGGAAAACACGAAAAAGGCATTATTGTTAATGGATGTGAGGCTGCAACAATTGCACACATGCTAAATGATGCTGACATGGCTTTTCAATCCAATTTCAATATTCGTTCTTATCTCATCATGCACGATTTGGTTGCCATTCTCTGAAGCAAGTAAGTGAAATTATAAGTTGCCTTTTTCTGCGGCTCTGATCAGACGAGATGTGATTCAATCACGCAAACACTTCGTTTGCTGCAGATACAGCTGTTGCATGGCACAAGCGCAATATGTGTGGTGAAAAACACCACCACCAGCAGCAGCAGCAGCAGCAGTAACAAGAAAAATAAACAATTTACATGAGCAAAAAACACGCTTTGCCATTTTTATCTTTAGATATTTTGCATTCCGTACTTGGGTTGCCCAGCCAATGTACACACAACAATGTGATTCGATCGTGTACACTATCGTTTTCATGTTGGATACAAGGTGGTCGTCATACCGAAGGCTGTGGCGAAAATAAATGGCTGTTTTCGTGCTGCATTTCCGACAATGAACTGGACTTCAATTCAGCGATCAGCTTCAATGCACCCATCAAAGCGAACTATTTTGACAACGATTCGCCAATGCGATTCAATATGGGCAAAATTAAAGCACATCCAATGACACCAACAGTGCCAACATTCAAACATAATATGTTGCGTCGACGCATGGACGACCATGATGGAATGGTATTTTCTGATTCATAAACTATAATAAATTCGTTGAATTGTGGTCAAAGTTTTCGAATTTACCATTTCAGAATCAGTTGGAGTGTGGAATTCCAAGAACGGCACAAAATACTATCCAAAAGCGAATCATTGGTGGTCGGGTCGCTCCTTTTGCTGCACTTCCATGGCAAGCACACATTCGCATCGCTGAATATCAATGTGGCGGAGTTTTAGGTAAATACCAATTTCTATCAATATTCGTCTCTTTTTCGGTCCATTACAATCTTCTACACTCTTAACACTCGATTTGTTTTGAAAATTATTTCACGTTTTAAAAAATGCATCCGAAAAGCCGTTTGAAAAACAAATCTGTGAAATAAGCAGCAAATCTTTGTTTATTAAACAAATTTAAATGTGTTGAATTCACGTGTGAGTTGAATATATTTGAACTTCGTATTTTTTTTCTTCCGAACTTCTTCTCTTCAAACTTTCTTTTTAAACCAGGTTTAATACGGTATTTCTAAAATTCACAACACATTTTAATATCCATAATTTATTTTCTTCAGTCCGAATTCCAAATAAACCTTTTTTTTTTCGACCCAAATTCGATTTTATTGTTTTTTTTGTTCTTTTTTCATTTCGTTCGGTTTGCAGTGTCTCGGTATTTCGTTATAACGGCCGCACATTGCATTGAACAAGCTCGTATGAAAGATATTATTGTGTATTTGGGCGAGCTGGATACACAAGATTCAGGCAAAGTGCACGAGCCGTGGCCGGCGGAAAAACACTATGTCAATCGGAAAATTATTCATCCCAATTTTAAGTTTCGTATCGCACAACCAGGTACATTCTTTTCTGGCAGGAATAGTGTATGCTATGTGCTCTTCGGATCATCGGTCGAAATCTCTGTGGTTTTAAGCTCACTCATCATCATTATTAGTGAGTCAAAAATCACATGGATTTCGATTGGTGAGCCGATAACCACATAGCATACACTACAGGCATAACTGCACACGTTTGGGGATTTTTTATGCTAGATATTTCAATTTTTTCTAACTTATTTCGACTTCTTTTTTGCGCATTTTTCTCCATTCAGATCGCTACGATTTAGCATTGCTGCAATTGGCAATTCCGACAAGTTTCACGTAAGTTAATCATCTTAAGCATCTTGAAGAAGATGCAGTTGAAACTTTCCATTTTGTTTGATGAACCCAATCTTTGTGTGCTGTGAATATGTTAACAATTGCGAAAATGTCCCATACAATACAAAGAAATTACGATTTCAAAAAAATAGAACGTGCGAGTAAATAAAAAGATCTTGGCAATTCGTTTCGTTCATCAAATAAACGCGAGATAATAAGTTATTCTAGATGAAACTTCCAAGCAGAAAAAAAGACAAAGAATAAATCTTCGAAAAGAAAGAAAAGTGTTTAAAAAGATGCGCTGAATTTGATTTTCCGATTTTGCAGTAATCACATTTTACCAATTTGCTTACCGACAACAAATATTGATCTCATGGGACGCAAAGGAGTAATCGCCGGATGGGGCAAAACGTCGGCAGACCTATCCTCTGGACACACAGGCACAGCAATTTTACAAACGGCATCCGTACCTATAATCAGTATGTCAGATTTTTTTTTTTCTTTTGAAAAACTTTGCTTTTGTTTTCATTTTAATTGGTTTTTATTCATTTTGAATTTTAGGTGCCACGGAGTGTATAAAGTGGCACAAGAAAAAGAATATTTTCGTTGAATTGTACGAGGAGATGTTTTGTGCGGGATATTCTGACGGAAAGCAGGACGCATGTTTAGGTGAGTGTATCGAATCAATCCCAGTAAACCAATGAACAAAATACGTTGGCCATATACGTAGCGGTTTCGTGTTGGAATGTAGTCCATCCGTCGGTGCTGGAATCCAACAATGTGCCCACTTGCCAGTTCAAGCCTTGATTCGCTTTTTCCGTTACATTCACAATAACAACGGCTCGAAAACGATCAAAATTCTGAATTTGAATGCGAAATTTGATGTCGTTGCAAACACTTCGCACGAATTGCATCACAATGTCTGGATCATAGCTGGGCATAATGTACTCATTTTGAATGAGACAATTTCGAATAATCAATTGAATGTGATCGAAATTAGTCGGATTGTTGGATGTCAATTGATAAGTTGGCTCGTAAATGCGTTGCTGTGTAATTCGTGTCGGCAATAAGTAGCCACCTTGAAATATTAAACGAAAAATGAGGCTGAAACAAATGAAAGCAGAAAAAATGTGTCATTTCACAACAGTGACACAAAATTACCGAGTGTGTATCTCGATTTGGCTATGGTTTTGCGACGCGTTGATATAAGCTTACTCATTTCGACCCATACGTTTTAAACAAAAAAGATTTCAAGACTGTGTCTACTTGATTTGTGATTGGGCAAAGGCTACTTCAATCGAGAAAATAGACTTGCCACGTTTTTGTTCGCATTTTCATGAACTAGAGAATTTCCTACATCACTTACCTTTTTTGTCTTATTTCAGGCGACAGTGGCGGTGGTCTGTATCTGGTGGAGAATGGAAAATTCACATTGGTTGGCATTACGAGTGCAGGCTTTGGATGCGGTGTCGACCATCAGCCCGGCATTTATCACAATGTTCAATTGACCGCCAAATGGATTCAAAACGTGCTAAACCGATACTACTGAATCGATTTCTCGCTCTCATTTTACTTGTTCAATTCGTGTTTTTTTTTTTTTCATTACAATTTATTTTTCCAAATTTTTTGTTTTTATTCGTTATTTCATTTGAAGCATTCTCCTCATTTCCGTAGCAATTAGGCGTTGTAAAAATAAAACACACACAGATATGCATCACATTTAATTTTATTTTGTAAATTAAAATTCAATGAAAAATGAAACCAATTCGAATTTTGTTTTTGGAATTAAGTGAAATAAGAATGGATTTGATGGAATCAAATATCCGATTGCGTCGCTCGAATCGATTCGATTGCAGAATGAGGCTTTTTCTGGACTGCGAATCAATTGCTTTGGTTTAATTTTCGCGATTTATTTGTTTTTTTTTCATCATTAATGAATAGATTTATGTGACATGTAGTTTTTTTTATTGCAAATCCGTCATAATTCAATACTATTAATTTAGGTGAATTAGCGTGTGATTCGTTATCGAATGATGAAATGGAGTTAATTTGTATATAGGGTGAAACAAAGAATAAACAGAGGAGGAGACTCTTCTGCACATTGATTAAAGGCTTTTATTTCCTACGTTTGCATACACCTACGGTCATTTATAGCGTTTAGTATTAATGTTCGTTTTGAAGTTGTTTTTTAGCCGTTATTGATTTTCGCAGGGGGATTTTTGTATTTGAATATCAATAATATTTTGGCGACTTTGACTTTTGACTACGAAGAATTAGCTCGTTGCTGCGAATGTTCAAATCATCTGATTTGTGTTTTTTTTTTGTATCCCTTTGGAATGTATTGTCAGTGTTTGTTTCGTTATTTGAAATATTTCTTGGAATTGGATCAAGTTCCATTCTTTTGTTTGTTATTTATTGCTTGGCATAGCAATGAAAAATTGTGGATGGAATGTCTTTGATGTTGAAATAAGTCGGTTTGGTTTGACCAGTATCAATTGTGTTTTTTTTTTTCGTATCTTGTATTTGTCATCTAGAAGAAATTCATCAGGTTTGTACTAGTGTCTGTTTGTGATAAATATTATGTTCGTTTTTTTCTCGTTGCTGTAAATATGATCAAGTTAAGCTAATGTGCTTTGATTAACTATTTATGCTGTTGCTGTTGTTGTGTTTTTTTTTCTCTATTTGGTGTAATTTGTGAATAAACTATGAATTAAGACGTGACTAACCTAGCGCATGACGATGATCGTAGCATGTTTTGTTTTTATCTCGTTCAACTTTTATTCTCTTTGTAAGGTTTTCTCGGGTAAAATTAACTCGTTTCGCTATTAGGTGTCGCGATAATATGAATTCTTATAGCAACGATAATGTTTATTGGAATATTATAGGCTATTCTTTTCACCTTCCACGAAGCATATGTTCAATTTTTCCTGTCAGTCTTTCTTCCATTTGTCCCATCTCTGTTGTAATTTTTCCTGTCAGTCTTCCTTCCATTTCTTTCATTTTTTTTGTTAAAATACCCCATTTTTACACAATCGTCATGACCAACAGTGATCTCAACTCGCTTATTACCACCACTCTGCTCACTATCATCTTCATCACGAGAATTACCGCTGTTGCAACTGTCATGACCGTTGGAATATGAATGGTTAAAACTTTCTTCGTTTTCTGAGGAACTTGTTACAACACTTTCGTTTCTCACATCCAAAACATTTTCATCTGACGCTTGTAATAAGGCAACACTTTGCACTGGCTGTTCTTCAGAATTTGTGTGTATCTCTTTGTCGGCAGGCTGTTGCTGTTGTTGTTTCAATTGATGATCATCGCCTGAATCGGATAAAATGTCATCGGATCTGTCAATCTCGGAACTGCTCACATCGCAATGTGTGTTGTCCACTTGTTTGTTTGTCTAATGAAAAAAATAAAAGGAAAATGGAATAAAATTAAATTAACCTGCAACTACCGGGTGAGATAAATGCGTTGACATTTGCACCCTCTGACTATACCTACATTCTCTACGTCGATATAGTTCGCAGTGGCGTCCTGTGGGTTTGCCACGGTAATATTGAATCTGCGTCCACCGGTCAAAATTTCATGGCTTGTTATCACCACCGCGCCTTCGATATTGTTAGCATTTCCTCGGATTTCCGCTTTGTCGAATGTAGATGTGTTTAGTTGTGTTTGAATGTTTTTGGTTGGTTGGCTGGTTTTTTTGTTATTTTTTGCAGGATTTTCTGAATTATGATACTTTTTCATATGCGAATCGTAGCATTTTTGCAATTTGTATTTTTTCTTGCATTCACTGCATGCTAAGATTTTTTCATGCTTTTCGTCATTGTGTTTCTTCCATTCATCCACGCTTGGGAATGTGTCCGAGCAGACTTTTCAGTGATAGAAGCCATTCGGCCGTCGACGTGGTACCGTCGGTTTCTGAAAATGCCAAAGAAATGCGTTCGTTTGATGATAAAACATTGTTGGAGACGAATGAGTGAATGAGAAAACAGAAAATGAACGCACACACACACACAGTGGCGTCGGCTTGAAAGAGAAAAATCAAGTAAGATACAAAATGGATCAAGTTCTATACATTTTTCTACCAGCCCAAATGATTCTCATTGCACATTTCAAATGGTGAATCGAAATTGACCTCAAACATCCATTTTTGACGAACAGAAAAATGAAATGAAATGAAGGGTTCGAGAGACTATAATAATATGACTTACATTTACTTGCCGCACCAATTGTGTTTGACTAATGCTATTCGGTTGCGTCGTCTCCTGAAATTCGGCAGCTGCGTCATCAATATCATAATCAATTGCGCTGGCACTCTCGGCAAATTGATTCACTGGCTGAATCGGCTGCAAAAATGGTGCAGTCGCTTCGGCATCGTCACCCTTGCTCGTCTTTCGGTTCGTATAATTCGCATTGATCGAACCAACACTTGTGTTGAGCTTCCGTAATTTGGCAGGGGGCGTATTATTGTCAGCAACATTTCCAGCCGATCCATTTCCTTGAACATGGTCAAGCATGGCATACAAATGGCATCGCCCACATTGACAACGACAGTGAATTTGTTGCCAACAATTTGATCAATTTTGGTTGAGATCGCTTCTGTAATGAAATTGCCGAGAACTGTACCGATATGCTTATCTCAGATATGGCATTTGCCATTCTGTTGTCGCTTCATTATTCGAGTCTGTGATGGAACAGTGACGCTCAATGTTCCGCGCGATTGTAATCTGTTTGTCTTTCTTAGGGGTTTCATTTGACGGCTGAGCATAAACCTGCAAAGAGAATCACATGAAAACAGAAAAAAAATGTCAAAAAGATGCTAATTGGTAGTTTATGGACGAAAATAGCTTGGTAGTCCAAAAAGGCTAGTGAGCCAAGCTATGAACAAATCGAACTAATGCAAACGAAACGAACGCAAAGAGTCGGAAAATTCATCGAAATATAGAGACAAATTAAACACGGTGAAATATTTTCCATATAGAGGTGTCAACGGACAAAATTTTGTCCGTCCGTCCGTCCGAATTTTTTTGAAAAAAATTCGGACGTCCGGTCCGAATGTCCGAAAACCAAAAATTTTTTCGGACGTCCGGTCCGAATGTCCGAAAACCGAAAATAATTTTCGGACGTCCGGTCCGAATGTCCGAATTTTTTTTTCGGACGGACGGACGGACAAGGGTTTTGTCCGAACTTTTTGAAATTTCTCGGACGTCCGAATTTTTCTCGGACGTCCGAATATTTCTCGGACGTCCGAAAATTTCTCGGACGTCCGAATATTTCTCGGACGTCCGAATATTTCTCGGACGTCCGAATTTTTTTCGGACGTCCGAATTTTTTTTTTAAAAAAAATCAAAAGAAAATTGGATAAGAATACGCAGCGTATTCTTCTTTAGCGACATTTTTGTATTTTTTGGTTGGAAAACTCTCGGAAAAGCACTACTGTGGGAAATCGGGGAATCGCGGAAAGTTCAAACCAGACAACTTTTTTCCGAGAGTTTTCCAACCAAAAAATGCAAAAATGTCGCTGAAGAAGAATACGCTGTGTATTCTTACCCAATTTTCTTTTGATTTTTCTAATAAAAAAAATTTCGGACGTCCGAGAAATTTTCGGACGTCCGAGAAATTTTCGGACGTCCGAAAAATATTCGGACGTCCGAGAAATATTCGGGCGTCCGAGAAATATTCGGACGTCCGAGAAATTTTCGGACGTCCGAGAAATTTCAAAAAGTTCGGACAAAACCCCTTGTCCGTCCGTCCGTCCGAAAAAAAAATTCGGACATTCGGACCGGACGTCCGAAAATTATTTTCGGTTTTCGGACATTCAGACCGGACGTCCGAAAAAAATTTTGGTTTTCGGACATTCGGACCGGACGTCCGAAAAAAAAATTCGGTTTTCGGACGGACGGATACCAATGTCCGAATTTTTGTCCGTGTCCGTTGACACCTCTATTTCCATACAGTCCAAATATGGACCAATGCCATAACCAATGCAATTAAGCAATCAATATTCGTTTGTGTCACACAGCTTGCACACACTTTTGATCATCCCGCTTCACCCAGCACACGGCGGTAGTTGGGAGAGAGACGGAGAATTTCACCGAAAATATGTTATTATTTTCTATTCATTTTCCATAAAATAGCAACTGAACGTCTGGAAGGGAACGAAGAGAAATAGACAAGTGTGAAAAAGCCATGAAATTATTGCCATAAATCGAGCTTGATAATCTATTTATTTGAAAATAAATTTCGAATTTCCGCACAAAAATCACTTATTTATTCCATGCAAGTGCAATATTTTTCTGCAGCGCAATGTTGATACAACACAATTTATTACGTATTTAATTACAGTATACACTATACAGTTGTCAATGTTTTTTTTTTCACTGTTCTCTCTCCCACAAAAAAATCTTCCATTTTAAAATAAGTTTATTGTTATTTTTGTTCCTTTGTTTGCAATTGACGTTTTCATCTTTTGACTGTACGAAAAACACATAAAACGGATACGTTTTCGTATTAAACACACTTACTTCAGTTTGCCCGCGGTCGAAAAAACGAATCCGTTTCATGATTTCTTTCCTTTCATTTCGGGGCGAGTTTACAAAACGGCCGTTTAATTTAGTCGAGAGATGCTGGCTTCTATTTCTACCAATGTGCAACCAGAATTGTTTGGGACAAACCGTGCAACGTGCTCGACGAAATCAGCAATTCAGCAGCAAAATGGGACATAATTCTGTTCTCATAAAATTATTCAATGCACAACTTAATTGAATTGAAAGAAAATTGATTGGTTAGGAACATTGGGAGAGAGGGAGGTAGAGAGAGAGAGAGAGAGAGAGAGAGAGAGAGAGAGAGAGAGAGAGA